TGGTCCATTTTCCTTCGGTTCCGTTATTTCGGCAAACAACATAATAAAGTGAGACTTGACAAGGGAGAATTACGAATCTTTTTTGTTGTTGGCCGCTGAACTCTTTTGGACATGAATGGAACTTTTTTCTTATGATGACTACAGCCCGAAGTTTACATGAAGTCCTTTAACCTGGACGGCCTATGGTCTGATAATTTTGTAGAACGATATCCGTGGTACGTCCATCAATGTGGGTATGCTTCCGTCTTACTTCTCGCCTCCGGAGATTTCACAAGTGACAAATACTCGTAATGAACAATCGATAGCCGGTTCCACACCGGTTATCACATCGAAACAGGTGTGGCAGGAGATGGTGTCAGAAATAGGTGCTCATCTATTCAGGTGACGCGCGGTTGGATTCTTTAAATTCAAACAACTGTGTGTAACTTGGTAGTGCACCTTTAGTGATTGGTAAAAAAATCCGTCTTCACTTTGTCGTACACTGCAGCTTCTCCGCAATCATCCGTCCACATCGCTGATAACTTTTAACATACACAGTTTTCTCTGTTACCTTGTCGAATAGTGTGACGTTCGCCTCAGGTTTGTAACCTTTAACCTCGGTTGCAGTTACCCTCCATCCTGAACATCCTTCCCGCAACCAACCCTCGGCTGACGTTACCGGGAATCCCACGTCCCTGGAGGATCGAATCTGAGAGACATGTCGGTGTTTCAGCGCATCTTAATAATAGGATATTCTTTATATCCTTGGTTTCGAACATGATTCTTAAAAAAACATCTTTTGCCTTCCTGTTTTGAAAATATTCTCTATGGATTTGTCCTTGTTTGCTTCGTGCAGACTGAAAAAGCAATCAGTTGTTGAAAATCACAATATGGTCAGGGGCGGGACGGCCGAAGTGGTTAGAGCGCGAAATTATCGATCGGTAGGTTCGTAGTTCGAATCCGCCCTCTGCCTCTCGACTTCCCCTGTCTAGGCTTGGGCAACCTGGCAGTATCCCAGCCCTCGTACAACCTTCGAGTGGCATGGGAGTTAGGCACCGGAAGGGTGCTACAGCTGAACGATTTTTTTTTCAGGAATCTTCCGTTGGATATTAGTCATCGTTGCATAACGTGACTTAGTCGGAGCCTGTTTGTGTCAGTAAGAATCAGATTTTCAGCATGCATCAGCTCATAGCCCTTCTTTTGAATCAGTAGTATATATATATATATATATATATATATAACCCATGTTTTGATCGCAACGAGCGGAAAAATTACTTTCCAACTCGCTTTTCTAGACTATCACGCCAGCGACTCTGTTGAGGTCATGCGGCTCAAACACAGCTCATTTTTTAGCTTCAAGAGAAGAGCGCTGGACAGACTTAGCACGTGCCGCTGCAGGCACGCGATTATACCGCCTGGGGTCTCATTTTTGTCTAACACAAAGTACCAGCCAATACATTCCGCCGACTTGGAAAGCGGTGAGTACCGGCATCGACCTACCTAGACTGAACCGTTCCCATTCTTTGATGTGGCCATCTGAGTGCACTGTTCGATTTTTTCTGCTCATCTGAAATGAATCAAGTCTAATAGTTCTCAAAGTCATTCGCCCCGGCGTTCTCACGTGATGCCCGACGGAATTCTCAGCTGTTCTACACACCGTTTATTCTACCCTGTTCCGTCAGCACAAGTTTCTGCAGGGCTGTTGTGTTCACAAACCCAAATTCTTACTCTATAGAGGTCTTTATTCATTATTTGAGTTGGGGCTTAATGGGTAATGGTTTGTAGCACTGGGCTCCTTGTTCCTCCACTTTGACCTTGTCTACTTTTGGTGCACTTCAACCTCATCGGCTCCAGCAAATTATGCTACCGTTTCCTTATCATGGATTTTTCCTGGTGCGTCCCTTTAAACGTTGCCAATTGATAGTACATTTCAACCGGTCGAACTTTTAGTTAGTTTTTGTGTTTATTTGTGGAATAGTCCCTTGTGTATGACCGCAGTCATAGCAGTTATCGTGGGCAATAGAGTGCCTGTGAGAGACATTGTTCAACATACTGTGTTTGAGTCGAGGAACTACGTTCTTTTGTTGACTGGATGTTCCCCCTGTTTTTACACGGTGGTTTGCCCTAGGTGAGGGAAAATGCAGATATGGGTAATCTGTTCGTCAGTCAAGATAATCACGTTTGCGGAATTCTATGTATGGTTAACTTTTTTGTTTAAGTGTGCTACATGTTACCAACTTAAGTGAGTTTTGCATGCCCCCAGTTACCTTTGGCAACTGTCTTCCTCCACATATTTGGTGTCTCTAGTTTTTACCGACCGGATAGTTTATTTCTTTCTTTGAGTTTGGTCCTCTGTCAAACAACTGATGGAGATTCAGTTCATCTTTCCCAGTGATTGAATGGTGCTGTCTCACTGTTGGTGGATGGGATTATAAGAACATGGTGGAAAACAGGGAGCCTATACTGTCATGAGTATCCTACCGGGAGGTGTCTTCACGTTCCACGTGAATCTCATGCCTGGAATCACTTGTTGGAAGGGTTCACTGTATTTGCATTCAGGTATCCTTTCATGTGGTCTCCTCAGAAGGGAACAAGTGCATAGGTAAACAAGCAGTAGAATTGAACTTCATCCTCAGGCGATCCTTGGCTAAGGGGTCACGTGATTGGTTCACTTAATTCTCCCTGATTAGCGCCAATAAGGGCGAATCGCTCGCGACCCTGCGAACGGATTACATTTCAATTATCAGCTACTTGTTTGTGGACGGGTACTCGGCACTATAATCGTACACAGTGCTTCCGTGGTGCTTGAGTTATTCCAGTCATCGGTTGTTATCTGAATCATCTGAATGACATAGGCTGTTTCATTCTGCCCGTCGGCGGCTTTCTTTTTACCTTCCAACTTCATAGGAAGGCAAGCAATAAAATCTGTATGTGGCCCATAGGATGAAGAGGAGCTGGATCTCAGGGACACTCCGGCCGATGTTCCAGTTGGTTAGGGCGCGAATTTACTGACCGGAAGGTCCGTGGTTCGAACCCGACCTCTGCCTCTCGACTTCCCCTGTCTAGGCTAGGACAACCTGGCAGTATCCCATCCCTGGTGCAACCTTTGGGTGGCATGGTAGCTAGGCACCGAAAAAGTGCTACAGCTGAGCGACCGGCCGAAGGTCCTGGTTAAAACCCCAAAAAATCAACCGTCAAATTGATCTCTAATGTACACCGAAAATCACCTGTGCAATCCGCATAAACTCGATATTGTCTGTTTTTGCACACCTACTTGATAGTGTTGAATCTTTGAATAAATTTTACTACTTTGTGGTGCTAAAATGGCCTGTTATATTCACATATCTTTCCCAATTCCGCATTAACCTGAAGGCATAATCTAGCTGCCCGGGTACTCGGCAGCTTATCCGTAAAATTTTAATTCCGATCACGACTTCACTGATCCTCGAGTTTCGTTCACGTAGCTCAGTGATTGAGGCGCGAACGTACTGACTGGAAGATTCGTGGTTCGAACCCAACTTGATTGCTCTGTATATAGTTCGGCAAGCTGGTAGTATCTTAGTTCTTCTACTTCGATTAGCGTGGCAGTTAGGCACTGAAAGGACGCTTTAGTTCAACGGTATTGAAAATGTGACCGCTACAGCTGCCGAACCCGTTTATCGTGTCTTTTGTCCAACGTACACCGGTAACAATGACGCCCTCTCCCTTTTTACTCACTTTCCAGCTCCACTATTCATATGGCCTCCGGTCCTGGATTTTTTTCCGGGCTTTATGATTTTCTAGCCTCACCAGTACGATTGTGGCGCATGCACACGCGTCTAGTTCTATTAAACCCTCAAGAAGCTCGCTTGCAAAATATTCAAAAACATTATCAAGAACACGCTCGCCGGGTCCAAATGCGGGAACGCATGAAGGAAACCTATGTGTCACACTCCCCGGTCCGAACTCCTGGCCCGATTTGTTCGTCGGCTCCTGTTTCAATGGAATCCGGTGGTCTTTTCCAGCCACTCATTTGCATCTGGTTGATAAATGTCGGATTAATTATGGTGAGTTCGTTTTTCAATCGAAACTGTGCAGTCACCGCGTGCCTACACGAAACATCGAGCACAACTAAAATTTCCTAACAAGATTAGATCAGGACAGGTTCACTTTGGAAGCACCCTTACTCTTCAACAATCTCATTGACTTGAGAACCCACACAACTTAATTTTGTCCGTTTTTTTGTGATGAAAAATAGGCAGTTTGTGATTGTGAGCGATATTTTCTCCCCACATCTGTTATTCTGTACCCAGCTATTCGGCGAAACCAATTATTCCACATGCGAAACTAATTAGTGAAGGCTTTTGGTCATACATACGGTAGTCTCTTGGAGCTGGCCTTCATCATTACGCTCGGAGAAATGCCCCGGTTCACGCAAAACATAATTTGACCGCAATGACCTGTTCATATGAGCGTCAGAGAGAGAGAGAGAGAGAGAGAGAGAGAGAGAAAGGACACTTGCTGAACTAATAGGCACCACAACAACTTCAAGCCGCAATGAATTTCAGCAGTACAGAGGACATCACTGGATAGCCCAGGATGGCCCCACCATGCTCGTCCCGATACTTAACCGGGCCGCACTCGGAACTCAGTAAAAATGGCTGACATCTTTGTCGTTTCTAATGAACAGCAGTTCCGTCTTTCACCTACCCTATCTGTAAAACCGCCTATAGTCCCATATCAGTGGAATAGTGGATACTGGATACCATCCAGCTACTTATGAGTAGAGTATTAAAAAAGCCTCGTGGTGAGCTTCTATGATTCTAATCTGGTTGTCTTAATGCAAATATACAGTGCGCACTATTAGCAAGGGCCCACAGAATATCACACCATTTAGGGGCGTGCCTTCTCTGAATAAAGAGATCACCGTTGTTTAGATTCTTGTTTTCAAGCTTGTAATTATTTTTACTATTATATTAGGCTTGGATCGGCAGTTGTTGGTCTGAGTAAACCAGCCATTTATCCATAGGTACTTCCATCAAGTGTATCTAGGCAGAACTACGACTTTACAGGAACACTGATAGCCATTCGGTGCACGTAAATATACACCTACTCCTCCCGGCGATCGGGACCGAATTTCTAGTTAACTCAGACAGTTGGTAAGAGTAAAAATTTTGAGCACATTTCCAAACGAACGTTGGTTGCAAAAATGTGTTTTAGAATGGCCCTTGACATGCAAGTTGGAGTCGTTTTGAACAGAAATCCTCCCACCAGAGAACTATTTGGGTTGTTTCACCTCTCCTCTGACTGGATCCACCGCATATAATTTAACTGTTATGGGTTTAACTTTTTCAACGTGAGTGCAATGGGGGCTCTTCTCATATCTCCATGGCACGTTGACTGTTATTAAAAAAATCTCGATTACGTGATAGGCTGCCGGTCTGTTCCGTCCTGTGAGAAGTCAATAGTCTGTCTGGGGTAGTACCATTTGTTGCCTCACTGTAAATCGCATCATGTTTGTGAGAATTCGGTCCCAATGGAGTGATTTCCAAGCGAGCGGTTCCGTACAGCGGCACAAATATAGCCCCATCTCTGTCTCTATGAGGGTTAACTTTGGTCTTTGTTTCGCTCTCGTTCAAATCGAGACTTTCACGCATATGGTAGCACGTTTCGTGACGTAAACGTTCCTCCCTAGAAATATTCCGATGTCTAGTCTTTCATTTTTCTCTGTTCTAATTATAAAACGACTTGATTTACATATCTCTTTTTTGGAACGGTCTTTTTACCCTGACGCCACCTCAAGACACTGCATGCCTCTAGACACTAACCATGGCTTCAGTCTACCCTTGGACTCCCGATTGTACACTCTGGTAGCGTCTCATTAAATGTATGTGCCCCCAGTTGTGTTTCTACGGCGATTTCCCTTTTATTGCAGGTGAACCTTACCGTAACCTGTTTCTTGTATCTAGCTGACTTTCTTTAAATCATCATATTCTTCGGTAAAAAAATGGCTTGTATTTATCCATAACACGCATCCTTCATTTCAGCTACTGGTCTTACTTTCCTACCTATGGTTAGTTGTCCGTCAGCACGCATTTCCAGGTGAGTCATAGTTCATTTGATCTGTCCACGACAGTTACCAGTCTTGTTTGCATCGTAGTACGAGACGCCTGTCGTCCGGCTGTGTACCACTGAACCATATAGGGGGTGGTGTGACTATGAACAAAATACCTCTCCCGCAAAACCCCAAAATTGCAACCGAAAGTTGCCCAGTGGGTTTCAAGCGTGTGCCACGCTACCTGACTGGGAAGTCCTAACTGGCGGCTCAATCGATCGTCACAACCAGGACAGTTACTGGGTCGTCATTCGATGAGTCGGGCACACCAATCACATCGCTCAAGTGTGAAGACGTTCTCCTGTTCACACGTGAAAATTCAGATGCGTCCACCGTGCGTTGGTGGAATAGTGGTTGCACGCTCGTCTCGCATATCAGATGTCCGGGGTTCAAATTCCGGCTCGGCCATTGGATGTACACTGTTAATGAGCTCTAATAAGAGCGAAACTCGTGTCCAGTGCTTCCCTTTGGTGTGGAATCACCGGAATAATTACGCCAGAACAGGAGGACGACCGTTCAAACGCAAGTGGTGTGACTATGAACAAAATACCTATCCAGCGAAACCCCAGAATTGTAATCGTATTCTGTTTGATCGAATTCATTTTTGTACCTTTAAATCCTATACGTACACCAATGTCTGTCAGCCTTCTGGACCTTCGGAAATGTTAGGCCTACAACGGTGTTAAAAGTGATTCCATGTGACCACTTCTGTACAGACCAAGTTAAATACTGTCTGGCACGAGCTATTTCACTCCTTTTTGCGAATGTTTCAGGAGTCGCCTTACAGTAGTCTGTCCAGGAAACCGCCACGGAATACGCGTTTTGGCGTTTCTTCAAGGAATGACCTCTTCTTTGCTTGAACTTCCATGTAATCCATGACCGACGGAGAATGTTACCGCGGACTCTTCAGGCCCGCCGACACGAAGAGACTGGACCTTATCGTGGTGTGGCGGTTTGTGTACCTCGGCGACCCATTGAGCTATACTGGGGGGTGTCCGCGCGACACTCACAGAGTCTCTCATACCAGGTTGGTC